AGAAAAAAAAAATAAAATTTAGTAAGATGGTAATTAATCGATAACGCCATTCACATGTTCATCATCAAAGTTATTTTCTTGAATTAGTTCACCAGTTTTGGAACTCAGGAGCATAGCCACATCAAAATGTTCTTCTTCAAATGCAACTTGGGCAGGCTACAGTCAACCATGAATTGAATAAAAATTTTATTAAAATAAAAAAAAAATAAAAAAATAAAATAAAAGTAAACGTACAGTTTTCCCATCCGAATTAGTGAGAAATGGATCAGCGCCTAGATCAAGTAATTTTTGAGCCATTTCAACAGTTTCCACCAGATGCAAAACTGTATCGCCATCATGATCAGGGAAATTTATATCAGCACCTTGAGACAAGAGAAATTCGACGAGTTCGATGTGATTATAAGAAACAGCAGCAGCTAATGGTGTGTAACCATTTTGATCTTGAATATTTGGGGATATTCCGGTGGATAAGAGAACCTTTACAAAATGTAAAGAATTTTTGAGAATAAAATTTGAGAAATAAAAATATATAAAATTGGAGAATTAATAATAAATACTTTGACGCGTTCTATATTTCCATCACCTTTATAAAAATAATAATGAGAATTTTTTTTTAGAGAAAATGAAATTATTTCGTTACAGTACAGCAGTACAGCAGTACTGCAGTAATGGAAAGTATTTACCAGCGGCAACCCATATATTATCATCAGTCATGGTTGTCCAATATTCCAGTATACTTGTATAAAAAGTTTATATCGATATATCGATCGATATGACCGTTTTTATTTTTTAAGTGTTAACATCAAAATTTACTAATACGTATTCAATTGATAATCACATGATTTAGAATTAAAATCATCATTAACTATTGTACAGATTACTGATTATACTGATTATACTGATTGTATCATGGCAGACAGCAGTGCTTGATAATTGTTATGATCTCTTGGATACCGGTAATTAACACGATTGGCATGAGTCTTTGTCTCAAAGATTTCTACGTACTAAAGAGTTTGTAACTCAAGCTTATCACGGTAAGTAATATAATTGACATTAATACTA